GCCCGATGCGGGACTCGATCCCGGGACTCCAGGATCATGACCTGAGCTGAAGGCAGTCGCTTAACCAACTGAGCCACCCAGGCGCCCTAAATAAATAAAACCTTAAAAAAAAATTCAAAAACCTATTAAATAACTCACCATACTAACAGAATAAAGTAGGGAGGTGTCATATGATCATTCTATAAGTAAGTGAGTACTTAGTTTATGACAACGTATCATGTCAGAGCACTGGGGAAAGAAGTCTTTTTCATTAATGGTGTAGAGTAAGTAGATATCATGGAGGAAAAAACAAATTTGATCCCAACCTCACACCATATGCAAAAATCAATGACATATGGATAAATGTGAATAGTAAAACAATAAAGCTTCCAGAAGATCATATAAAAGGCTATTTTCATGGCCATGGGATAAGAAAAGCTCTCTTAAATAAGACATAGAAAGCACTAACTATAAAGGAAAATATTGGGAAATTAGGCCACATAAAAATTACAATCTTCTATTCATCCAAAGATACCATATAGAGAGTGAAAAGTCAAACTCAGAGTGGTATATGATATTTGCAATATATATAATCAAAAAAGGATCATATCCTTAGGGAGCCTGGGTGGCTCAGTCGGTTAAGCATCCAACTCTTGATTTCGGCTCAGGTCATGACCTCAGGGTTGTAAGATAGAGCCCCGCATCGGGATCCGCTCTGGGCGTGGAGCATGCTTGGGATTCTCTCTCTCCTTCTGCCCCTCCCCCCAACCCCTGCTTGCATGTTCTCTCTCTCTAAAAAAAAAAGATCATATCCAGAATAATAATCCAGAATATATAAATATTCCCTACAAAACAGTAAGAAAAGATGAACAATGTAATGGAAAAATGAACAAGACCCTTGAAAAGCCCATTCACAAAAAATTTCCAAGTGGCCAATGTATATGAAAAGATCCTCAACTTCTTAATAATCTGGGAAATCAAAACCATAATGAGATTCAACTACATACCACCAGAATGACCAAAATCAAAAAGACTGAAGAATACCAGTTAACAAGAATTAGAGCAGAACATCTCTCACCCACCGCTGGTGGGAGTGGAAACTGATACAACCTCTTTGGAATATCGACATCATTAAAGCTGAGCACAGTCATGCCCTACAATTTAGTAACTTCCCTCTGAGTCTACATACCCAAAAGAAATGCATGCACACCCACCAAAACGTGCATGAGAAAGCATATAGTGGCTCTCTGAAATAGCCAAAAACCGACAACAACCCAGATGTTCATCAAGGGCAAAAGGGTTAATTGTGGTATATTATTGATACAATGGAATGAAATAAAACAAGGAAAATATAATTGTGCCCAGCAACATAGATAGAGCTCACAAATACAATGTTGAAAGAAAGAATCAGACGCAAAAGAACACTTACCATAGGAGTCCATTCATATGAAGTTGAAACAAAAACAAAAAACAAATCTATGGTGTGGGACATCAGGAGAGTGGTTATTTTTGAGGAGGAAAGGGGACTCCCCATCCTAGGGGCAGTCGGGAATGTTGGCTATATTCTCTTTCTTGTCCCGGGAGGTAGTTACAGGGCGTGTCTTCTCCAGGATGACACACTGAGTCCAATGCTTCTACTCTTTGTAATCTTCCATACATAGAACGCCAAGAAAGCGTCCCAGAAAAATTTCAAGTGTTGATTTCCATTTCTTAGATGAAGTAAATGGACTAAATATTACCGAATATCTTGATTAAAACCGATCAGTGGCTTGTTCTTACCTATGTTCAGTGCGCTCTCCGGATGTCAGGGACAGAGCAGAAAACCGGAAGTACCATACCTGTGATTATAAATCAGCTGGACGAGGAAGAACAGAATGCCTTCCCCTGGAGGAAAAATGAATAAAACTGGGTCCCTTGGCAGTTTAGCTAAGAGGCAAGTAGTGGCGAGAAGAACAAAAAGTTAAAGTCCCGATGTATAAAATAAAGACTTAATGAAGGTCCTCCTGGGGGCTCATACATGGCTAGCCTTATATAAAAGCAGGGTTAAAAGGTAACAGATTTAGGCTGGCTACAAGGAAATGCCTTCTTACGAAATGTATAATTAACCTGTAGCCAATGGTTTACTAAAATCCAACTCCTCTCAAAAAAAAAAAAAAAGGATTAGCTATTTATAGCAGCCGAACCAGCATCTGTAGTTACACTGACTAATATCGTATTACAAAGACTCCCCTGCTTCCAGGCAAAAAAAAAAAAAACGATAGCCAGCCAGGGTCAGGAAGAAAATGTCCCCTTCGGTGTAGTATTTCACAGCTCTGTTATCTAATATTGGACAATTTGCGGGGCTGTGCGGTATTCACCCCGCCGTGCAGAGCACCTGGCTCTGAAACAGGCTATTGTTTTAGTTCTGGACGGCAACACCTGTGGAGCTGTATTTAGGCAACACCTTGTGTTTCCAAAAGGTAAACACAATGAATATAATCAAAATTGTTCCAACACTACTGTTTTTACATCAACAATCTATAAATATATGGAAGAATGCGATATATGTGTGAAATAAACAGAGCAGGCATACCTCCACCGAGGTAATTCAGAAGACAGCTCTATAATTTAGCAGCTTGGATTTCAATTGTTGCGTTTTTAGGTACGAAAAACACAGATATTATTCATCAAAGTGATTGTCCTGTGCACTTGTATACCTTATATAATTTATTTTTTCAGGGCTTTTTACTTCAAAGGAATCACTAGCTAATGACATTTCAGACTTAAGAAATTTTTCTGATAGCACGCTGGAATTCCCTCAGGGACCGGATTGTGAATAAGTGGATTTTTTTAAAGATCATTAACAGATATTACAAACCAATTCAAACTGAGCATTTTCTTTGCAAATTACCTTTAACTTTTAAAGCCATTGAAAAAAAAAGACAGTGAGTGATTTAATTTACTTAACCTGTCTACGAATTGCAGCTTTGTGCTACATCGGCGACTGCAATTTCAACCAAAAAATCTCTCTATCTCTAATAGAGATATTTTTCTAAATTATCACACTCAATGAGTGATATTTCAAAAGATAGTAATGTTTATTTTTTTTCTCATTTAGCAAGTTGCTCTGGAATGGAGAATTTTATTTTATTGATAGGTTTAAAGTAAAAACAGAGCCCTGCACTGTCTATATCTGTTGCTTAATTAAAACTCTCGGGTAATTAGCAGGTTTATCATTTCCTGAGTGAAGGCAGATAATGGAGCTTTGGTGGTAGATTGGGGGGGGGAGTTGGGGAGATGATTTTTTTATTTAATGATCAAACCATAGTTTCTGGGCTAAAGAGCTAATATTTGGGGTGAGAAGCACCTTTTATTCCCCCACGTGTATCAGGTCTGATGCTTATTTGCATCAACACCCCCCTTCTGTATGTTTTCCATTCAAAGAGCTCCCGGGGACTTCAAAGGGAGTTGCCTGCAAGGACAGTCTACGTGGGAGTCCTGAAAGGCTCCAGAACAGGCCCAGAGCAGGGAGAAACCATGCCAAGGGGAGCTCACGCTGGAGCCCCCAAGCCATGTCACAAAATTAAAGGGTCTCCCCTGCCTACGCCATCCCACAGCGCACGTGGGAAATGTCCCCAGGTTTGCCAAGCACTGTGCTGGCTTCTCGGGCTACTACTTATAAATATTTGATGAGTAGCGCTCCATTTATAAGAAAGTATGTTAATAAGAATATTCTTTGAAATTGGAGTCGAATGCAGGCTTTAAAAAGGCTCATTGTTTGAGGTACTACAGATTTCCTTCTTTTCCCTTTTAAAATGCAAAGTCAGCTTACCACAAACCAAAAAAACAAAAAAAACCCTAACATCCTTTTGAATGTCCCATCCACAACAACAACAAAAAAGAAATGGGTAAGATTCTACTCTAAAGGATGTTCTATTTTTGGAAGGATTCAATAAATTTTTGCGGGTAAAGGAACATAGAAACTAATATTTCTTGAGTGTCGCTTGCGTGCCAGATATTCTAATGCTTCTCTTTTAATCCACACCAATATATTATGAGGTAAATGGTATTACCCCCATTTTAAAAATGGAAAGTGGGCCTCACAGAAATCATACAGTAGGGTGTCTATTCCAGAGCCCCACCACGGCTAAGTGCAGGCCTGGTCTGGAAACCAGATCTGCCCAAGCTCAACGTCCATTCTTGTTCTCTACCTCACATTAACTCCCAGATGCCTGCTGGCTTCACAGGGATATGGCCCTACCCAGTCTTGTCTCACTTCTCTGAGATGGTTTCCTCATCTGGAGATACCATGGAGACAGCAGGAGCACCTGCTCAGCCCAGCATGCCGGGGGATGACAAAGATGGACGGCATCCCATTTGTGGAAGCGCTTCATACACTCCATGCTGTGGAGACAGCGTCTCATTAACCTTTCCTTTGATTTCAGGCACGCTCCGCAGCATCAGACTTCATTCACATCACCGTGGCTTGGTCTTTTGTGAAAATAAATCGAAATGGGGGTGATTGCTCATGTAATAGAAGTCAAAACCATAGCTTAAAATAAAATACATAAAATAAAATTTAAAAGATCATAAAATAAAATAAACACGGTACACTTTCTGACCCTGGGACATTAATCCATTTATTTATCTTGCACTCATTCAACAAATCTTTACACATGCTGAGGTGAAGCTTGGGCGCTGCATCATTATGTCAGATTTCTAAGCACACTTTACCTTGCTTTTGCACTGAGGATAAAATCAAACATCCAGATATGACCCACCTATGGGTTCCAGGCATGATCTGATGCCTGCTGGCCTCTCAAACCTCATCCTCACCAACTCCCCACACTCTCTGCTCTCCAGACATACGGCCAACAGGCTGAGCTGGAGTCCCGCCTCTCCGGTCCCCCTTCTGCCGGCTGGCTACTCACTGCTGACCCCTTCTCTTCATTCCTGACTCAGTTTAAATGTCCTCTCCTCCAAAAGACCTTCCATTGCCTCCAGATCCAAAATAGCCCAGCCCCGAGCTTCCCACCCCTTTTGGTTTCCTTCAGAGCAATCTTACCATGTGTGACACTCTCTCTGTTCGGTCCCTCGTGTGCCATCCGTCCATCTCCCCAACTCAAGTGTAGCTCTAGGAAGTCAGAGATCAGCTCAGTCTTGTTCCCTGACTTTGTCTCCAGACCACAGAACAGGGGAACACAAAGGAGGCAGGAAACGGTGTTGCCTTAAAGCAGCTTTACCTGATGTCAAATAACAAAAAGTCCCAGTCAGATACTTTGTTTCATGGCTGCACCGGCAGCCCTTGAACTGAAGGAGAAAAGTTCTCATTTTTCCTCCTGCACCAAGCTCAAGTTCTTTCCCCTGCAATGAACCCGTGCCTCCGCCCTGCCAGGTGGCCATGCTCACCTGATCTGGAAACAGGTGGCCTGGAAATGTCTTACCTGTTGGCTAGAGTCCTGCCTGCCAAGAAGGCACGACTTTCCCTGTCATCTAAGTGTGACATGCCAGCGAGCTCGGCGCCCTGCCGGGCCCAAGCATGACTCTCAGGCGCTTCCAGGGGTTCCTCTGTCCAGTTTGGCAGGGGCTCCAGTGACAGCCCGGGACCTCAGCTTCTGCTGCCCTCACCGATCCCCACCCACGCTGCCCAGGGGAGAGCGGCAGGCCATCCTCACCTCACACGTCTTTCTCGGCTTAACCATTTTTTTTCTTTATTCGACCATGTACAAGTTAGAGAACGAATACATATTTGTTGGAACAAGTGAAACGACACTTAAAAATGCGAGGAAAAGCAAAAATAAGTCCTTCTCCCTGTCTCGCCTCATTACCACTCTCTGGAGACGACCATGTGCAAGCATACATATGCCTATGTCCATGTATTTGATGTATATAGTAATACACACACACACACACACACACACACACGCTCTCTCTATAGTAATACATATCATGTTTACAACCTATATTTGCAATGATATATTACATATCTTTATATATAATTTTACATAAGTGGGGTCATATACGTGCTGGGGCAGTTTTAGTGCCGTATTTTATCTTCATTTAATTACCACTGATTTGTGTATTTCGCTTCCCTCTCTCAGGTGTGGTGACTCCCGGGATTTACAGGAAAGCACAGGTGTGCTCCGGGCAGATGACCACACCTGCGTTCAGTGGCAGAGGTCTCCCTTCCTGTTCTTAAACAAGCCTGTCTTGGTCACACTGGACTCCAGTGTGCTGGTGTTTCTCTTTTCCGTTGCTGGTTTAGGGACATCTAAGGAGATGCCTGCACCCCACCCCCCAGGGAGCCCACAGACCACCCCTGGGAACCATCTCTTTCATTTCCTATAGCTCTCCCGCCCATCTGGCTCCCTTCTGTGTCTAATTGGCTCCCGCTTGGAGCTGCCAGCCCTGTACTATCTCTGACCTTGTCTATTTCCAGTGACCTTCTCAAAGTAACAAATCTTCAGGCCACGTCCTCTTTCCCTTTCCCTTTCTTCACAGGTGTCCCTCCCCCCGCCCTCCTCTGGCAAAGCTCACCCAGGCCTTTGCTTGGAACCCATTTACTCAGCCCATTTGCCTTCAGGTGACCATTCCTTCTGACCCTCACCCTACTGGGCCACAAATCTGATCAACATATTTGTGTATTGCTTTGTAGGTTGCAAACTTTCTCAAATAGATTGCTTCAACTAATTCTTGCAGCAACCTTTTGAAACCGAGAGGAATAGGTCTACTAGTCCCCAAAATACATGGGTTTTCAAAGACATTAACAATCACCTTGCAAAGTAGACTTTAAAATGGTCCCATGAAAAAATACTCAGTTTCACTACTGATAAAGGAAAAGCAAAGGATAGCACACTGGTATCTTCTTGCCTATGAGTTAGCGAATATACAAAAGACTGATAATACTGTTCAGCAAGGGAGGAGAGTGGCAATACCCTACATTGTTTGTTGCAAGCAGGAGTTCATATTGGGGGCACCTCTCTGACCCACAACTTGCCAACACATAGCGAATTAGAAAACCGTGGAACCATGCAATTCCTCCTGTCGGAATTTGTCCCAAGGAAATAAACAAAATTATGCAGAAAGTTTAAGCTACAAGGAGATTTTAATATGTGACTGATTAAGCTGAAGTCCAGTCATGCAATAAAATGCTCTGAAAAAAAAATTAAAGGTAATAAGGTGGAAGAATATATAATATCAATATATAATGTCAATACATTATAATATAAATGCAAAACAATATAATATAAATGCAAAGATTTTTAGATAAGTAAAAAAAAAGATTTTTAGATAAGTAAAAAAAAAAGATTACACAATAATACGTATTGTCTGAGTCCCGTGTAGATGATAGATATGCATACAGATGTAAATATCATGCACCCCAAAATGCCAAGAAAGGCTGTCTCCAAGTGATGACATTATGGGTGATATTTATTCTCTATTTTCTAATTTTTTTCCAGCAAGCACATATAATTTTGCAAAGAGAAAAATAAGACTGTAACATTTAAAACATTGCCTTTGTCTAAATGGAAACAGTTGCACAATTGAATATTCAACAAATATTTATTGAACTTCTATACACAAAGAAATCTGCTAGGTGATAAGGATGCAGTGGTTAAAGTTTTTAAAAATTTAAAAAAAGAAGAAGAAGAAGAGGTGGCCACTGCCCTGAAGAAGGTATTCTTGGAAAATGGAAGAAAGCCAGTGGGGGTTGCTGGTTTCAACAGGCAATGCCACCGGGCACAGCTGGAGCTCATTAGGCATTATTCTTCCCTAACCCCAAGAAATGGCCTCAGAGGATATCAATGCATCCAGTCATGCTTGGGTGAGATTTAGCCTCAGACCTGACCTGGCTCTGAAAAGGTGGTTTGTGAGAGTGGAAAATGGAGAGAAAGTAAGAGAGTGAGAACCACCCCTGCTCTTCAAGCTCTTAGCAACTGTGTCTCCTGCCTGCCTGAGACAATTGGCTGGAGTGGCCTGGCTGTGGGAGAAATGGTCCCATGGGTTGCATGACTACTGACATTAAAAGGAAGGCCCAGAATGATCTGTCTTTTTTTTTTTTTTTTTTGATCTGTCTTTTAAATAAGTGATTCGTGAAAGTTCAACAAAACTCCCCCTCGCCGCAAGTGTCCCTCTGAGTCTGCCCCATGGATAAGCATCCAGCCTCCTACCCTTCCTACATGACAGTCCCCCGTTAACTTTGCAGGATTGGAGCCTCCTGCACACATCAAATCTGTTCTCCCAGCCGGGAAGCCATCCCCAGGAAGTGTGGCACCTCCACAGTCTGCAAGAAGCCCTCACAGCCTCTAGGGTACCATTTCGTTAGCCCATAGGATCACTGTCATGCCCTAAGTTAATTCAAGGCATTTGCTTTGAGTTGGTTTTTTTCCCACAAATGATGAAGAATTTGTGTTGATTCTTCCCCCAAAAGGCCACTTGTGAGCAGTGTGCATTTGGAGACCTGGCTGGGGTTCAGACAGGGACCATGGTGAAAAGAACCAGCTCTCCTGAGGACTGAACTCACGATCTCATTAGCTCAGGGTTCTCATCAACTAAGCCACCAGGCACATACCTCATTTAAGGCAGTAATTTGCTAAATGTTAATTCTTAGATTAACTACAGATGAGTAGAGTTCCACAGGGGGGGCTGGGAATCGAGAAAGAATTTGTTAATTCTTGAAAGGAAATTTGGATCATCAGTAGATGAGTCCTTTGGTTAGTTTTAAGATACAACTCCAGCATCTGAAGATGATATTCACTGGGATCTATGCCACCATGATTTTTTTTTTTTAAATCAATATCTCGATCAGGAGAACTTCAAGGAAAAAGCAAATGGTGTCACTTCGGCATGTGCAAAACATTACATAGATCCCTCCACAGTTTCTATTTCAAACTCAGGCACAAATCTTTCCTTTGTGGAAAGGTTTCTGTATTTGAGGAAGGATGGTTTCTGTATGCGAGGCAGAGATGGTCCTCCTAGAAGGGCTGGACCCCATTACCTTTGTCCCCCGGAACCCTAATTCCTGTGAAGAAAAGTCCCATGGGGAAGGGAGCCCCCGACCCACAGCCCCAACTCAGGGCATGCTGCAATCCATTTGCCCTCTCATCCCCCAGCCGGGCCCTGAGGAGCCAGTTTTACAAATAGCAAATATGGTTTGGAACAAAGTTTTGACACTGACTCGGTATCCTGTGCTCATATTACATTTCTATGAATATTCCACCGACTTTTCAACTCTGAAGAACAAAGTTTCCGCTCTCAGGCTACATTTAGCATTCAGGCCATTTCAACTTCTGTTGCTCCCACCCTGACAGTGATCTTTGAAACTGATATGGCCCTGAAAGAAGCCAGAATAACTTTTAAAAATTATTAATAATAATAGGCTAGGTTCCCAGTCTTTGTAATCTTGTGGAAGAACCTCTGTGAGAAAGCACAGTGGGAATTGAATTGAACGTGTGCCCACTCCAGCTTTTCCATGGAAAAGCCGGCCTGCAAATGCATGGTTGTTTTGCAGGAGAATTTCTATGAACTGGAAGAGGACGGGGATGTAGCCCTGCTTTTGCATTTATCACCTTCTGCCCCAGGAGCTTTAAGACCATCTTGAAACACCTGGGTCTCTGCCACTGGAAGAGAAGCCCCACAACATAGGGGCCGGGGTGGCGGGGGGGCGTTGCCCAACGGGGCACCTACCAGGAGAACCCCAGCTCTGGCACTTGCCGGCTAGGGGCTCGTGAGAAAGTAAGGTATCCTCTCTGAGAGGTCAATTTCCTCACCTGTAAAATGATGATAATTATAGTTACTACAAAACAGTAACTGTCTCCACAAGAAATAAGGGACATAAATTCCTTAGTCTATTGCCTGGAACATAGTAACTACTGATGGAAGCTTAACTATGGTAGCTACTATCTGCCTCTTGAGCAAACGTGACTGTCTCAATGTGACAGGTCTGCATTCCAGATATCCCTTTCCTTATAAATCTAAAATAAAGAGTACTACATTTGTCCATCCGGGAAGAAGACACTGATGATTGAACTGACCACAACCAGGTTGGAATAATATGTCTGGATCCAATAGCTAAGAGGTAGCAGCCTGAAATGAAAACAGCTAGCCCTGATTCCTAAATAATGCCTTTATTTT